TGTTAAATCATTTTAGGGAATTGGTTAACATTGTTCTTTCAGCAATTAGTCTGTTGTGTTACTCTAACTTGTGTGTTCATTATTTGTTAACTTGTGTTAAACCGTTCAGCAGAAGTAACTATAAGTGAGAGTGGTAGGCCTAGTCATTAATAAGACCTGTGAGTTTCACTTTGTGTTGTTCATGAAGAAGAATCCAATAAAGGTTCTTCAAAACTGCCACCTGGTGGTGAAGTCTTGAACTACAACATGAGCTACACTCTCTCTGTAGCTGTGAGGTGTCATGCTACAATATTGTGCTTGACGCATGTGCACTGTTATAAAGAACTTGTACGATTTACTAGAAAAGATACTTGCAACAATTTGCTCTTGTTTTAAAGTAAATTTAAATGTTAAAAATTCAAGTAATATTTACTCATCATTATCTAGTAAAAGTTATTAAGAATAGTTAAAGATTTGTGAATAAATCAGGATTTTTTCAAGTACATCTTACAAGTTATGGTTTTCAGTGTGGATTGTGTCTCTTTTTCAATATTATTTTTGTAAACTGCAAAAATAATTACCTGCAAATGCAGTTCAAAATGTATAAAATTAAAGAATTTCTTGAAGGAATATCGCCCACCACCTATCATGCCAGAATTCTTCTTACATTGAACAATAAAGGGATTGTGACCATTTGGGTCAAAAATCTTAACCTCATGCATAATCTCAAGTTTGGAGTATGTGTTGGAAATGAGTCTCAACAACAACGACACCAATCTGTGCAAAATTGTCAGTTTTATGGGCTTTTTTGTTTTGTGATTATCAGATAGCTGTGTTGGGCATGTTACAGTGCACTTGCTCCAAAGATCACTTTTTGTAGACAGACTTCCAGTTATTACATTATAAAGGTTTCTTTAAAGTGTAACCCCCCCCCCCCCCCCGTGAAAGCATAACCCCACCCCCAGGCTAATTTGTACAATTCCAATAAAGTGGGCGGTGCTACTGAGGGACACAGCCAGGAGCGAGGAGGTGTGGTCAGGATGAGGGAACTGGCCAAGTAGGGGTCTCTGCGCATGAGTGGGCGTGTCCCAACGAAAGGCGACTCTAAAGCGACACACCTGATTTGATGGACTTTTTTAAAGGGAAACACCTGACTGGACAAGCAAAAAAGGGGCGTCGCCGTACGGCACCACCTGATTGGACAAGAACAAAAGGGGCGTTAATGTACGGCACCACCTGATTGGACAAGAACAAAAGGGGCGTTACTGTACGGCACCACTTTTTCTGGAGAACCCTACTTGGGTCACATTTCTCCTGGTTAACCTTAGTGTTGGGGTCAGGGTCAGGCTGTAAAGACATCAAGGAGGGTCTAAGGATACCGTCATGTAGGCCTCGTAGCCCACAGTGTTTATGGTTTAGACACGCCCACTCTTGTGACACGCCCACTTTCATTCCACAGATAACCCCTTCTCGAACTGGCGGCTAGCTTAATTTGACAAACTAGCATTTCTGAAAACATTTCTAAAAAAATTGTGTATTTTGTAAAATGTAAAGTTTCATGATGATTTCAAACATGTAAACTTCAGCAAAACATTGTATAAAATATGACTGGGGTGTAAACAGCACAGGAATAATATTTTCTCATTTCTTTTTGTTTCAAAGGTTCATTTGAAATTCACAAGACGGCTCAGACCAGGACTGATGCATGTTCTGTGCCCCTCAGAACAATCAGAAGACACACGAGGCTCTTTGCCACCGTCTCATCTCTCTGCTGCTCCATCCTAAACCCCACTGCTGCGACGGTGGAGGAGCCAGGAAGTCCATCATATGAAAAAAGTTTGCGGTGCCGAGGCTCAGTAATGATAAACTGATTATGAGTGACCGCCCCGTTCACAGGATTAAACATCAACAAACAAGATTTATTACAGAGAACTGGGAATGTTGAAGTATTTTTTTTTCGAAAAATTTATTCATTTTCGGTTAAAACTGAACAATTTTTATAACAAAACAAAAAATCAATTTACAAGAAAATGAAAGGAAGCAGAAAGAAGAAATAAATCTTATATCTGCTCCTTTTTAAACAAGAAAAAATACATTTAAAATAAAATACATTCAAACACAATAATCTTTAAATAACAGAACTAACCAAAACCGACTCCGTGTCAATTTTTTTTATGTTTTCTTACAATCCATATCAGTTTGTTTTTATACTTCTTATATTTTTCTTCAGACTCTTTTGTTCTTAATTCCAGAAATTGTGATGACATGGAACAGCAACTTTGTTAGTTTAAAAAATATTGAACCACAAATAGGATTGCTTCTGTAAGTTAATTCAGTTCGTTTTGTGTTTGATACGAGGGAGACGTCAATGTGTCTCTTTGCCTTCATCTCCTCCTCCTCTTTTCCTCCAGCTCTGTCATTTCTGAATGTCCACATGTGAGGAGAACTGGTGGGCTTCCTCATTGAAACACAAAGAGTAACCAGAGTGACACAGCTAGTTTCACAGCAGTGGAAGGTCCCACTCGTCACTGGTGGGCGAGCCCAGCGGGTCTGAGCCTTATTGGATTGAGTTGATTTGGGTTTTAGTTACTTTTTAAAATCCACCCAGAGGTCCTTGAGATAATCTAATTACCAAAGACATGATCTGATCAGGAACAAATTGTGTGTGCGTCATAAACGAGACCTGCTCACTTTAGTTCCCCGTCCATCTCTTTGACAGTCCGCCTGTTAGCCTTATGAGATTATTTAAATAATGATGATTCCAACAAAACTGCTAACAGTTGGTCACTACTGAATGGTGACGGGGGGCATCAGCGATGGTTGACGTGAAGTTCTATCTTGATTTTTAGAATATATGCAGCAAAAAGCACACAAAATATCTGCTCAATACTTGTAAAATTGACCGAGTTACAGCCATCTTTTTGCATTTTTAATGTAAGTTAGGTGTGGTAGCCATATTGAATAATGTTGATTTCATATATAAACCAGTTTTAGATAAGTGTCCAATAATTACGTTCTGCTAACTTAAAAAATCAACCCTGTGGTTAATGAGATATTTTGCTAAAAGACAAACACATTTACATTCATGCACTTACACAGACAGACATGGGCAAAAATATTTGTCTGGCATTGTTTCTCATCATTGGGTGATATTTAAACCTCAGAGAAGTAGAAAACAGCACGACAAATGTAACAACCAGTGGTGGGCAGCGCTAACCTAAAAATTAGCTCCACAATTTCTAAAGCGCTTATGAAAATATTTAGGTCCGCAACTTCAAAAGCATTTATGCTGTAGAAAAACTAGTGGAAGCTAATTCTGAAGTGCAAGTTCAATTTGACACTTACTAGTTGGCAACAATTCATGTACAATATATGCACAACTCCGCCAACTACGGGTGTATGAACCCTTTTACAGCTTAATTTTACAACTGCCCATTGCTGGGGATGTGATTTCATGAAAGACCTTTGGCTCCTGGTGTAAAAACTAAGAAGTTGTTGAGGATTGCTATTTCGGCTTCTTTTTTGTCTTTTTCTTTTGTTTGTTGTAGAT